TGTGCAGAGTCTGAAATCAGTCATTTATTTTCTGTACAACACTCATTAGCTAATTCTGCAGTGAGTACATTTTAAGAATTTAGAGTCCCTTTTATGCTTTTTGGGTTTTCCATTTCCTGTAGTGTGCTCTATAGGTTTCTGTGCATGTAAATGGTCTGCAAAGGCTAAATCCCAGTGTTCCCTACAGAGGAAATTTCTCTCCAACACATCCCCCCATGCCTGAAACGCCTCCAACTCCTTTGTTTACTTCAGTAACATAGTGACATTACTATGTAACACTCACGCTTCTATTGGCTAGCGCTCCAACACATTGTACCCAATATACTAAGGGTAGGGACATTTCCGACACATCACTAAGTGGTTGACAATCACAACAGAGCCGGCCAGCCAACCAATCAGAGCAGACTGGGCTCTGGTTTCGGGCAGAGGGTGAAAAGAGGTGCTGCAACACAGGCAGTATGAGAAAAATACAGACCTTTTTGAACATTAAAGCATGGAAACATGTCACAGTAGGGACACAAAATAAAAATATTAACCTCAAAATGAGCATAACATGTCCTCTTTAAAGGGGAAACACATTTTAAAAATAGTACAAGCTATGGTATTTTCTTATTGACACAATCCTATTTTCTCAAAGGCTAAGGGCATTACCTAAAAAAATATGGATGGGGACCTACGGGGCTCAGAGAGAAAAAAAGTATTTTAAAAATAATGGCTTATCAAAAGATCATAGGCTATACTCAAGAAACGTAACAATCTCACAAACTTTGGACAAGAAGAAAGGATGCCAATTATTTGTTAAAGTTACCAATTGGTGCATGCACATTTGTGGATAATTAAAGAATCAACATGCGATTTTGTATTTAGGTTAACCCTACAGTACGTGTCTTTTACAACAATGCACATGTGTTTGTCTTATATTTACAGTGAATTGTCCGTTTTCTAATTGTGCAATTAACACTTTTTGTCTGTTCTCATTTGTAGGTTAACGTTTGGTGGGTTGCATGCCAGGCTGCTTGGTCTTGGCCTGTGTGAACTTGCCAAGCCTTAAAGGGCCTGAAACACGCCCAGACCTGCAGAGCAAATAAATCTGCTCTGGGGGCTGTGGCTTCACTTTCACTCACTTTCACTCACTTTTTCACACAGGTCCATACCTGTGGGGATTGCCCACAGTATTGAGTATGTAAGTCGCTTTGGATAAAAGCGTCTAACAAGTAACATGTAATGTAAAGGGGGTGGCTTGTTTAGAGTGAGGAGCTGCAGACAGATCACAGTTTTCAGTTTTCAGTTAAAAATAATAAATTAGAATAAAACATAATTTAGAAAACTATTTACAAGAAATCAAGAAATACAAATATTATTTGCCATTGGCCCACCATTCTGGAATATTGTGGAAAAGTCGAAGTGTGAGGGTTAGGGTTAAGGTCAAGGGTTGGATAAATAAGCATAAGGAAACCCGGCTAAGGTTAGGGCTAGGGTACGTTTTAGTTAACTTTTTTTCTCGCATTCCTACATGATGAACAAAGAATTTAAAAAACTGAGAAAATTCTTGATGAATGGAAGTAAATGGTGGCCAATGGTACCAAAAGCAATTATGTTAAAACGTCTGGTAACAAATTCTCACCCAACTCATGCAGTTAAACCCATGTCTCATTTACAGTAAGATAAGATAAGATGGTACTTTATTGATCCCAATTTGGGAAATGTTTGCGTTGCAGCAGCATAAAAAGACATGGCATTGTACAATAAAAATTCAAAGACTAGAAATAAACATGAAAGTAGAAAATATACATGTTGAATTTAACAAGGTATTATATATACATAAATATATGACAGATGGAATATAAAATATTGAACAAATTATATAAATGTAAAATGTACAATGTGGTTTTATTTCAAGAGAAGATATGAAGCAGAGAGTTCTCTGCCAGCCAGAGGGGATTTGTTGTGCAGAGTTATTGCAGTGGGCAGGAATGTTTTCCTCTATCGGTCCTTGTGACATTTTTTGATACCTTTACTTTTCAAATGTATTTTTCATTCATTGTATCTCACTTTATTATGTTCTGAATTTTGTATTAAAGCCTTCATACCCTTTTTACGGGTATGTAATGCTGGTAGAGAATGCTTTTTCTTTACATTGCCCTTAAGAATTGACATGGCAAACAAGACAAAACCATAAATCCAAAACACGTGGCATGAGGACAAGGACAAAAACCAACCTGGAGCGTGACAAACATGGAGGGTGATGATCCGACATGGAGCACAGGGGAAGACAAGACTAAATATACAGAAGGGTAATCACAGGACAAGACACAGTTGGGCAGGGGAGGCAGAAACACAAGGGCAACAGGTGAACACAATGAGACAATCAGACACAGGAAGGCAAACACAGGAAGGAAGACCAGACACAGGGAGAACAGAATTTCAAAATAAACCCATAACTTAACACACAAAACTCAAATCGTGACACTTTCCTTTTTTGGCCCCTTTTAACAACATGTAAAGTCCCACCTGCCAGGATTTCTTCACTTCAGAGCAAAGTGTTGCGTTACATCAAGGTTGAGCCCCAACACGTTATCGGTCCTTCTTGTTTATTTTCCCTTTCCTCCCACATATTTGCAGTTCAGTATAATAGTGTACGATAAATGAAGAGTTTCAGCATATGGGAGATAAGGGGCTCTGCTCAGGAAGTAAAAAACGATCACTGACCCTGCATTATGTGTCCAATATACACCATGCATTTGTTTGTTTTAGGACAGGCAAGATACTACATGCAAAAACCTGTAATGTTTTTAGAGCCTTGGTTTTTTTGCTTTCATAACATGACTTATGGGGCATTTCCACCATGGCGCGGAGCCTAGTGGTTGTGCTTCCACTAGGCCTAGTTCCGGCCCGGGGGTACTTTTTCACCTCTTTTCTGGCCCGACAAAATCGTGGTTCTATCGGGGCCAACAAACAGGGCTGAGTCGGGCTGAGTATGCTAAACTAGAGAGAGAATCGCTGGCAAGGAGGCTACAACTACAACAAGATGAACATATTTGACCGTGATTTAATTGTAATACACGTTTCAAAATGATGCCGAAGTAACAACATACTGATACCGGTTAGTAAAAACCATGAATTAATGCTTTGGCAAATTTGCAGACAGACGGCAGCTGAAAAACCTTTTAAAATGCGTGTTTTCTAGATGGAGATTGGCTAAGCTAACTCAATATATGCTCCGACCGTCCACACTCACAACAACGGCCTATACAGACATAAATAAAGCAGCGACTGTACTCGCCATGACACAGGCAGTCTGTGGTGTGTACTTGTTTAACTTTTGTCTAGTTTCTGAACATATATAAGGAGCTGTGAGCTCTGAGTGCTAACAGCTTACGGCTGTGTTGTTTTTCTGGGGTTCTCATTGAAGATGACGTCACGGCTCCGCCTACACTGCGTTACTATAGTAACTACCCCAGTTCCTAAACTGTAATGGAAGCGCAGCATGAAGTGAGCCGGCCCTAACAAGGCCCAACGCGGCCTAGCAGTACCGAGCGAGGCCGAGGCCGACCGTGTGGTGGAAATGCGCCATTATTTCACACTGGTGAACATTGGATATTCCCATTCCGGTTCTTAACTGTAGCTACAGTATGAGTGTCTGTTGAATTGTCTTAAATTAAATAGCATAAGATAATGTCTAAATTGCATATTTGAAGATAACATTTTGGAAAACTTATATTAGAAGAATTGGTCTGATTGGGACTTGAACCGGCGTCCCTTCAGTTACAAATCAACGTTCCTACGAGCTACTGCCAAAAGAAAACAAAACTGTTGATGACAAAAAAGTGCATTATCAACACGAGAAGTTAAAGGTGGGGTAGGTAAGTTTGAGAAACCGGCTCGAGATACACTTTTTGTTATATTCCATGGAATGCTCTTAACATCCCGATAGCAATGAATATCTTAAGTGCTTTGACAAAAAATCCATAAAAAAATGTCATCTGTGGAAGCCGTAGTACTGTAAAAAGTACGACCAATCATTTTAGCCGGCCCGGCTAAAATAACTGGATGGCCTACCTGCCTGTCAGCCTTCCATCTGTGCACAAATTTATCTCGTGCCCTCATTGGTCATGTGCGCGTTCGTGTGTGTTGGAGGAGGGGCTCTGTAAGGAAGTGGGAGATTTTTTCCGGCTGTGTATTTTCAAATTCTAGCGATCTCGAGCTGGTTTCTCCAAAATTAGAGCAGGGCCGTCCCTCCCTACAGGCCGATCACGCAGGCTGCGTGGGGCCTCACCTTGCGGAGGGGGCCTACACCTCGCGGAGGGGGCCTCACCTCGCGGAGGGGACCTCACCTCGCGGAGGTGGCCTCATCTTGCGGGGGAGCCTCAACTGAGCCGCAAATGCGGCGCACCTATGCGCTTATGCGGCGCAATTAGTGTGGAACAGAGGGCCTCATCATATAACTTTGCGTGGGGCCTCAAGTTGGCCAGGGACGGCCTGGTGTAGAGTGTTTACAGTCTTTACATTTTATAATAAATATCTTTAGAGAACGTTTTCTCAATTTATTTTTCTAATACTTTGAGCCAGAAATCTCAATGCAGTATTCATATCCTGAGGGTTTAATAGAGAATCATAAATGTGTTTATATATCATTCATAGCTAGATTTATATAATATTTAATCTTAAAACATGGCAGAAATAACTCTTTGAAATACTTGTTTGTTGTCTTTAATGCAGTATTTTTTGGAATTATTAAACTATACAAAGAGGTATTTAAAGTTTAAAAATATATATTTTGTCCCTAATGTGTCAAGATTATGACCTGACTTAGTCAAATGAGCACGTATTTAATAAGATAAGGGCTTGATTTTCATATTATACCACACCATTTCAGATGATTTGTTATATAAAAAAGAATGGTGTCATTGTGAGTTATCAACTGATTCGTAAATATATATATTAAAATGCACCTGCTGTGTGTGTATGCCAGCCTATAAAAGACATATATTTCAAGCACATATATTTAAAACATGTTTATTTAGTACAGCAAAAAGTAATACGTATGAAAATAAATCTAAGTAGTAAAAAAATAGTCATTAATACAAAAATATTTCCATTCTTTCAGCATTCATAATATCCATTACACCCAAGCAAAAGCCAGTCAGAGAACGCATTGAAATGCAGCGCGGACCATCAAGCAAAGCAGAGTGCTCATAAACATATTTACATTCAAAATATACACAAGAGAACTGATGAAGGTCTCATCATAGTACATTGTAGCACATTTCAGAGGTCATCTGCAAATCCCTCCTGAAATAGTTCTCCTCCACAGGGCAGGCGTAGGGATAGTCTGTGGGGTTGTAGTAAGGTGCGTATTCAGGGGCGGAGAAGCTATCCTGCGGGCTGGGCCAGTAGGGCAGGCTGCGAAGGTCCTGGGGGGTGCAGTGCTGGAAGTGGAAGTGCTCAGAGGGGAGGCCGGGGTACCCAGGATCCATCCTGGTGGGGGAGTCGTAGCAGGAGGAGGAGGAGGAGGAGGAGAAGGAGTCCTGCGGTGAGTAGCTCTTGTGATCCACGGGGGTGCAAAGCTTCAGCAACTCTGGTGAGGAGCAGGGAGCCTGGAAGAGAAGAGGAGGGTTTACTATGAGCTCATAAATGAGACACCACACTGAAAAATCTGAAGCGTTGACTTTAATGAAATGTATTACGTCAGCAGATTTCACATCACTATATTAGGTTAGATGAAAGCAATACTTTGAAGTGTCAATACAAAAATATTAGGTTCAACTTAATCGTATTGCTTTCAACTAACCTAATACAATTATGTGAAATTTGTTGGCATAATACATTTACTCAAGTACTGTACTTAAGTACATTTTTGAGATACTTGTTTTTTTTTGTATTTCCATTATATGCTATTTTGTACTTCTCCTCATCTACTATATTTAGAGGTAAATTGTGTACTTTTACTCCACTACATTTATTTGGTAGCTTTAGTCACTTTACAGATATGGATTAATAATGTGACATAATAGTCAACACTTAAAAAGCACTTGAGTTACACCTGGAGTAAATTCACAAGCTACCCTGAGGTATACAAAGTCATTCAAACTAGCTGCACCTTTACCAGTTTTGAGAACACTTTAATGATCAATCATTATAAAACATATCATATCAATTATTTTGAAATGGACCAATTTGCAGAATGAGTCATCTACTTTTGGTACTTTAAGAATATTTTGATGCTAATACTTTTGTACTTTTACTTAAGTTGTTCTTGGAACAGAGTATTCCTACACTCTGGTACTTATACTTTTACTCAAGTACAAGATCTGAATACTTCTTCCACCTCTAAGTGTATATCAAATGTACGTGTTGAGGTCAAATCTGACCGATTTACTACTTCATAATTATTGTGTTTTTCATTTAATTTCCTCAAGGCCTTATGATATCCTTCACAGTAGGCATTTAAACAATTGCTGATCAGTACTTTGATTGCATTTTGAGTGGTTAAGTCAACTTTGTTAAACCTATGATGTTCCCGGTCAAAAATGACCACCAATGAATCGGTAACCCTAGATTATGTTCACCCATCAGATAGTACAAACCCACAAATTGACAACCATGTTCATTTTGGAATATGTTTTCAGTGTCTATTCTTTGTAAATTCACTACAGTTATGAATGTAAACCAGTAGTCTGGCACATTGTTTACAGCTTTAAAGGGTGTTAAATAAAAATTGGTGATGATTAAAGTTTTTTGTGCTAATGTAAGAGCAGTTAAAACAGACCAGTCGAATTTGACCAGGAACACTAAAGTAAGGGGGGTAAACGAACACGACACAAGGTTAATTTGACTTTATATAGGCTGTATTCAAGTACCTTTTACAGCAAAAATGATGGGAATTCCCTGAATTAGTCTTTTAAAGCTTGTTATAACAGCCCTTTTACATTTACATTTAAAAATGTAACAAAAGCTGTCAAATAAATGTACGAGGAAGTAAAACACATCCCTCTGAGGTGTATTGGAGTTGTGCAATATCATTAAATGGTACTTAAGAAACAGGACTTCAGTCAATGTACACAGTTTATTTGCACCACTGCCCGCAGGCGACAAATTAAAAGACGACGTGCTGCATTCAAGCCCCAACACAGGTCTCTGCTAAACAGACACATGCCCAAACTAAAACATGAATGTCTCCCGAGGCATTTCATTCTGAAATACATATTGGTTCTTAGTTGTTGCCTATACAATGTGCATTTTATTGCAATGGAAAGATGTATTGTAAATACAGAGGTGGGAGAAGTACTGTTATTGTGTACTTAAGTAAAAGTATAAGTATCAGAGTGTAGGAATACTCTGTTACAAGTAAAAGTCCTGTAACCAAAATTGTACTCAAGTAAAAGTACAAAAGTATTGGTATCTAAATATAATCAAAGTACCAAAAGTAAAAGTACTCGCTATTCAGATTGGCCCATTTCAGAATAATATACGTATATCATATGTTGTCATTATAATAATTGATGTATTATTGTGTTGATCAAGCTTGTAAATGTAGCCCTCATTTTAAATACTTTATTTACTGCTGCATGTGAATTTAATCCAGGTGTAATTTAAATCTTATTTAAGTGTTGATCATATTTTGTTATCATTCATCAAAATCTGCAAAGTAACTACTACATCAATGTAGTGGATAAAAGTACAATATGTACCTCTGATTTGGGGTAGAAGAACAAAGTAACCTAAAATGGAAATACTTAAGTAAATGTAGCCTATAGCAACTTAGTAACTTTACACCACTGTTTAAATATAGGCTCTGAAAATTCGAAGAGACCCCAAAGATAAAGACAGGGGTCATATTTCTAAACGTATAAACAGACATGGTTAAATTGCTGTTTTCTGAATGGAGTTTGGTGGGAGAAACCTACCATCCCATGGCCGTAGTAGTCCGCGTCTGAGGAGAGCGCGTGGCACCAGGGCAGCGGTTGTGTGGGGGGGGCAGGCAGGGAAGCGCTGTAGCTGCCACCGCTGCTGCTGTTGGTGTTGTTGTTGCCACTGTAGCCGTTACCTGGCAACATCATGTCCCCGAACTGCTGCGGGATGTCGTTGAAGGAGCCCTCCTCGTGCATCTGGCTGCCGCACGAGCTGTCAGGCACCGGGAACGAGGCAGTGCGCAGCTGGAAGGCTCGCGCTCCACAGCCGCGCGCGTCATCTGGAGAAATGGCAGAAGGAGGGTCCTCATAGCGAGCTGACGGAAATAAATAGAAAAATAGATAAAAAATAAAGAAAACGTACATAAAAAGGGGAATTTATTTCAGAGGCTACATATTTACCATTACATATCTGTATTATATAATAACCAACATATCGGCTGCACACAAATGTTTTAAAATAGCACAAATGTTGCATTCCAAAAGTGTCAACATATTCTAATCCTTATTTTAGGACACGGCGAACCACTGAGGAGCATTGGGGAAATATGCAAGGAATCTGCATGGAAACACAGGAAGACATTTAAATAGGCCTATAAGTCCACAGTGATGTCATAATACCATCAGCCAACACATTTGGATGTAGCCTAGCCTTCGTTTATAAGAAGGGACCCTGCACTTTTGCTATTGAGCTTTCAATTGCCTTGCTGCCTAGAATAGCTTTCCAAGTATTTTTATGTTATGACTGCATGGGGGGCTTCCATGTGAGTATTTTGTTGTCGCTTCTGCGGGGTCATGGCAGGTTGCTGTGTGTCAGTGAGGAATGCTATTTGTTTTGGACTTTTTTTTATTTATGCAGCTGATCTGCTGTCTTGCTGCAACCACAGTGCGGATTTTCCAACATCTTACTAAACAATGAGATTCGTTTTTGTTATGCTGGATTTGTATTGCAGAACATATTGGTTGGAATAGATTTCAAGATCACATTGATTTAGGTCAGGTTTCAGTAATATGCTTTAATGGGTTTGTTACACTGTATGGACTTGGACTTCGCTGCTGGGTGAACCTACTTTGAAAAGTGGGTGAGCAAAGTCCCTGGAGATCTGAGCACGCCTGGGATAGCTGTTCATAAGGAGGGAGAAAGAAAAGATTGTTAAATATTTTATGCAACTACAAATTTGATTTTATAATACGTTTCATTTACAGAGCGTTTTTTTTTAAGAAACTCAAATACACTTTACAGGGTGGAAAAATCATAAAAACATAATTGAAAACAACACTTAAAATATATGTTTTGATCTGTGATTTGAACGTGGTGAGATTGTGGAAATCACGGATGTGTTTAATAGTAGTTTTTTTTTTGTCAAACATTAGTATTTGTATCTTGTAACATTTTGTATTTGTGTGTGTTTGTCCGTGGTTAACTTAAAAAAATAAACGTTGGAGTTTTCTAAAGGGAGGGTATAGTCAATCATTTACAGGGTCAGTTTGTTGCTTTGCTCAGGGAGTGTTTTTCTTTTTTTTCAGGCAGAGAGAGAAAGGGAGGGGGGGGGTTTACCGTTTTCACTTTTTTGCTGTTGGCCTCATGGGCTCTGTGTCTCTGCAGCAGCTCTTTGACGGTTGTCTTCACGCGGACGCCCTGATACACTCTCTGCTTATCTGCATGAAGAGAACAGCATGTCACTCATGTGTGCTAAACACTCACCATTGAGGCAGACAATAGCAGACACTGACTCCTCTCCCCTCTCTGGTCTCCACTCTGCTCCCCCTCTCCTCCCCTACATTAATCCCACAACATGTTTTCGTCTCTAAAATCCCCCCAAAAACCCATTTCACAGTCTTTTTCTCCCCCAATAAACTGCAATCTCTCCATTAAATGATCATGTGGCCATATTGTATACACCTTAATAAAAGTTTGAATGTGATTGTGAACATTGTGAACATATAACAACATTTATGTATTTTTTATCACATGATTGTCAAAGTTTTCTCCGTGCGTAAAAGTGATTTTTTTAGCGATCCTTGCGCGTTGTGGATCTGGAAAATGTATCCGATTTGTACCGACCCCAGCGCCCCTAAGTAGTCCGGGTCAGGGCTCTCTCTTTACGGCAACTCAAGCGTCTCCTATTACGCCCTCAGCAGACCCTTACAATGCAGTCTGTTTATGCTCCGAGCGCTCCAGCCACCCCGCCCTGACCAGGAAAGAGGAAAGCTGTACAAAATACGCCACCGTAAGTCTATATTTATGATCATAAACGCTTTTAACGAGAGAAATAATGTTGATGGGTCAACGTTGCATCGATATACAAGTTGGAATAGGCGTACGATCGTTTGGTAGAGTTGGATAAAGGCGCTCGGGGAGAATGCGTAAAAAGCTGGAACGAGGCTGTCAGTCGATCGGTAGCTCAACCTTTTCTTAGTAAACGCGTATAATTAGTGGATCTGAGCTACAGTTGTGTATCAGAAAGTAAATGGGTCGGTAAATCTGTGCAAAAATATCTCTACGCGTTTAGCTCCACGTTACCGGTGTCCGGGCACCTCGTAAAAGTTTCAGTTTAAACAGATTGTTGTTGACTTTCTGAAGATTTACAAGTGCGATTTCAGTCTCATGCTGTTTATAATTCAAACCCCAACTCTTATCCAATCTGTAACTTTATTCAAATAACCCCAGCCCCTACTTTGGATATATAACAGTGAAATTATACCGTATTGGGAATAATTTGCCGTATATTTTTCCTATAGGCGAAGCTTGATTAATGAAAGCAGAGAGAACGCCTCGCATAGGTGCACGTAATTCAGGCCCAAAGGCGTAATTTAAGGCACTCAGGAGTGGCGAGCCGTTTGGAAAAAGGTGATTTGATAACGAGACGAAGCCTCGGCTGCGAAAACATCATCTGATACATATTCATACGGCTAAATGCTACTTCGTGTTTTGTCTTAAATGTGGCAAACAGCGGGCCAAAATCGCACGGCAGACACATCCCTCTCCAACACGGTTACTTATAACGTCCCCTTACGCACACGCAACCCCCGACAGAGACATTAACATGTTAAACCTTAGGAGTTTGTAATGATTTATAAATTGTATTAGAACTGATTGTTAACATGTGATGTGTAAGCGTATATAGAAGTTGATATTAAATCCATAAAAGTCAGTAAAGCTGTGTGGCCCGTTTCAATGAAAAAAGTCAAATCTCCTTATCCATTAATGCACACAGGTGGCATTAAAGTAAGAATATTAATTATTAGGCGTTTAATTATACTGTTAGTCATCTCATATATTGTTTAAAAGTGTGATTAAAAGGAGAATATATAGACAAATCCTCCCTTTTATGCACATGTATCTTAAGATTTTTAAATTTTGTCACTAAACGTCTCTTTTTTTCCCTCTTTTCTCTTTTGTGCCTAACAGGAGAAAATGCACCAAAATGAAATACAGATGAAAATTCGTCGTGAAACTCACCAGACATGATGGGGAAAGATGAAGAGAGGCTCCCTGGAGAAGACCTGTGGGACTCCACAACGTCCCTTTTCTGCCTCAGCAAAATGGCCAAGAACGAAATTTGTGCAAAAGTCTCCAAAAATCTCAACACAAATGTCCTACAGCAGTGTCAGAGCATCCAACAATATTGTATTATAGCTGGGGACATTTTAGTTTGAGATTTTCTGCCTCCATGCCTACTATTTAAAACCCCTAGAACTCAATGATTTGACAATGATTTGATTGCGCGTTACTTTCAATTTGAATATTCAGAGGCAACCGAGTTTTATCGATTTTTCCACAAAAACCACCACGCATCGACATTCTATAAGTTCTACTTTAATGTAATATAGCAGTATTTTACACTTTGACCAAAAAGAAAGCATACTTTTATTAATTTTATCCTCCTTTTGCAATATCAGAGCATCACACCCCCTCATTAAGCACTGATGGTCTTGGTGCTCATTGTGCGCAACTTAAACTCAGCAGGGCAGCTTAAATGTACAATTGTACACTTATTGCATCCAGTTTGCATGTCGAGAATATATTTAAAACATATCTTTAAGCTTTACTCCAGAAAAAAGCGCATAAAAGTGGCAACAGAGTGGGCGTGGCAAAGGGCAGTAGCCATCTTTGGCATCGCAGGCCTTCAGCTCTTCTAGCAAGTGCTGTGAGCACATCAGCTGCTGAGGCTGTTGAGACAACTCTCTGCTAATATCTGCTTTTAACATTTTATATTTAGATATTTGAAATTATTTTTTTAAATATCCTTTTATATTATATTATAAATGTTTTAAAAAGGAAAAATTGTAATATAAGTATTAAATCCAAAATAATTAAAAATGTTTTACTGAAGGTCCCCAATCTGGCAGGGCATCTTTTCGTTTTTAAATAAACCTTCCTAATTAAAAAAGAAATCACTTTCATCAAAAACTGCTGTTATTATTTCAATCATTTATAGTTGCATTGAGACATTTTTAAGTGCTCCGTGCATCACATAGCAACACTATATGCACACCAGCCTGTATGTGGCGATGGACTTAAAGATAATAATACACTCAGTTATTAAAATTACAGTGAAAAAAACCAACACACATATTTTATTTACAATATTATGTCTTATTTAGCCAGCTGGGACAATTGTTCTGTCAAACTGGTCAAACATGATATGCGAAATCCCATATTATTATTATTATTACTATTATTATTATCATCATTATTAATATTATTATTATTATTAATATTATTTATATATATTAATGTATATATGTTTTTTGAAGACCATATTATCATTACTAATATATACATTTTTTATATATATTCTATTATAAGACTTAATTATTATAATTTAAGCTATTTTCATGACTATTGACATTGTTATGACCAGAACTAGTTGATGACTATTAGTAGTTGCAATATTGGTATCCCTCCCTCTATGAGTAATATTTAGCTTTTTTATTCTTATTTTATTCAGAATACGATACGAAAATACTTTAATGGTCAGATCAGATTAAAATGTATGCTAAATAGGTAATTCACAAAAAGGGATTATTTTCTCGGTATTTGTTTCACACACTTCAAATATCAAGGTATTAGGAGAAAACCAATCGGCAATTGTGTTCACTTTCCCCTGTTTAAAAGCCCTCTTTGGTAAACGAAAGCAGTTGGTAGTGGTATATTCCCACTCCTCACTACACAGAGCCCACTCCCTGTCCCTGCTCTGCGGCTCTCCCTGTTGGTGCTGCAGGTTAAAGGCTGGCGCGCCCTCTAGTGGTCACACTTCAGAACGCCTGTCTGTATCAGCAGTGCATGCTTTTACTTTTAAACGACTGAGAATTAATTCACCAATATTCAAGTCTTTTTCACGTTAACACCCTTTTATCATCTCTGATGAAAAAAACCCACTAATATATATATATATATATACACACAAGGATGTGCAGTATAGATCCTATTCAACCAATCAAAGAAAAAAAAAAAGTAAAAATCCACATACTGAAGATAACCAAGCGTTTCTACTGAGACAATGAATATATGAAATAGCTCAGATGCAATGTTTAAAAGTACTTTAACTCAAGTACTATACCAATGTTGACGTACTTCTTGAGTATTGTCTATTTTACAATATTTTATACTTCTACTCCACTAAAATGTAGAAGTGATGGTTGTACGTTTTACTCCACTACATTTATGAGTTGGTTTCTTTGCAGGTTCATATTATTATTGCAAAAAATAATTAAACAAATGAATTATGATGTATTATTATGAATTAAGATTGTACAAAAAGTGATTAAAGTTAGCCCCCCACCCAAAAATGATGTACACATGAATGGATCACTAATTATAATCCTGGGATATAAAACTTTTTTTTTTTTCTGGAAATGGCCCATTTGTATAATGAGTACTTTCAGTTTTGGTGCTAGAAGTATATATTGATAATTTTACTTTTGTAGTTTTACTCACGTAAGATTTTGAATGCCAGACTTTTCCTTACTTGTAACAGAGTCTTACTTTACCTAATACAAAATTCCGAGTGCTCCTTCCACCACTGCTTGGTTGAAAAGCTTGATGAAAAATAAGTGTTATGTTTATTCGATAATATTTAATATTATCTCCCATATTTAGCATTTATTAAAACTACTTACACACACTTTTTAAATGGTTTATAACACACACAAGTGTTGGTGTAGGCATATATAATGATATTTGAATGTGTTTATTAATGTTTTTGATTACTGCTCTCAAGAAGCATTCATAACTGGTGTATAGACAGTTAATAACATATTTACTCATCGATAATCACTTGTCATCTGAGAGGATATCACACCATTATAAATCTTATTTTATTCGTGATTAACTGTAAAGTAAATGAGAAGTTCAAATCTAAAATGATTTCCAACACAATGGGGTAAAAAATATGGAGCTCACATAAGTGAAAAGTATATTTTATACATCAAACAGTGCTGACTGTATTCATCAAACAATCTTTAGAAGAACAAATCATTTTTACATTAAAGGTTTTTGTTGTACATTGTAATAAAATGTGTGAAAGAATGTTAGCATCCAATGTGTTTTAATTTCTGTTATCTTTTCAACATCAATGATATTTTATGGCAGGATACTCTGTCCTTTTTCAATCATAGGTGTCAACCAAAACAAAATTAAACACCAACACATTTCCTCACATGTAATTACAACTTCAGTGTAGTTAGTAATAGTGTGTTATAAACCAGTTATTAGTTGTTTGTACTGTATGGTGATTTTGAATGCTATTGCACATCTGAGATGACCAGAAACTGGACGTTACAACCTTCATTATATTTTAGGGACAGAAGTCTAAAAAGACTAAAATGTGCAAAGAAAATGTCCATATCTTAGAAACTACAATAAAGTAAATCATGTTTTTGGTATCTGAAACCCCATAAGTTAAAAATCAAAGATATGTACACATGTTCAGTGTAAACAAATGTATATGAAAAGATTTAACAAACACAATGTTAGCGCTTTTCTTCATTCCTTGATACAAATTCAATTTTTCACGTGATCAGAAAAATATGTGTGGCATTTTCTCTTCTTATCATTCTTATTGCTCTTGTTTTGGCACAAATTGGTTAACTTCATATATTGTTTATTTAATTTTTATTTTAAGGCTTATAGGTGTGTTACAAATCAAGCAAAAAGGACACACATGTGCTTTTGATTTAGTTTTTTACAAATAAGTATACATTTCACTTTGGTCAAACTATGCTACTTCACTAACAAAACTTGAATCCTTTCTTTGTACATGGCGGAAATTGTCTTCAAATCACACTTTTACAGATGTTTGAGTCTTCTCTGTTCTGTCAAGTGCTTGTTCAGTGTTCAATAGTCTGTGAGACCTCCATCTTGTTAGAGATGGAGACCCTCCTGCGGTCAGTAGGCCCTCCTGATCTCGTATGGCGACCAGGAGCTCACTCCGTCCTCTTTGGCCCAGGAGGAGTGCGCCTCTCCGTTGGGGGGGAGGCTGGAGGCCTCGTCCGTCACCATCTTTGACACCAGGTCGCTGATGGGGACGCCCATGTAGGAGGGGCAGGGGAAGGAGCTGTTGGGGACCGTGTAGGTGCTGCTGGTGGTCAGGGGGTGGTAGTGGGCTTCCTCCAGGGAGTGCAGGGTGTAGGGCTGGCTGCTGGAGACTTGGCCCATGGAGGAGCCTCGGCTGGGGGAGCGGTACTGGGACGGGCTCCCCGGGGGGTCCGGGCTGGGCATGGAGGGCGGCACGCTGACGGAGGCCAGGCTGTCCGGACACAGAGCCTCCACCTGGGAGACCGGCTCAGGGACAGACTGCTCCCATGAGTCCCTCTGAGGCAGGAAGTAAAGAGATCACTCAATCATTTCCTCTGCTGACTACAGGAAGTGAACCCTGTCTGTTCATGATATTGGAATATATGTTCTTTTATAATGACTCATTCATATTCTCCTTTAACTTTATACACTGTTGTCCTGTTTCCCAGAATGAAAAAGTTACACAAAAAATCTCCTTTCAACCCTGTTTTTATATTCTCAATGAATCGGAAATGTGAAAGTATTTCGAGATATTAACTGAGTTAGTGATGTTTTGGTCTCAGGGTCTCGGGCTGATACAGTGCAGCAACTCAACAAACTCACACTATGATATATACCTCATGGCAAATATACGCTCCAATTAGAATGTGATTTAAAACAGGCAGCTAAACTGGCAGCTAAACTGTTTGAGGATTATATACATTGCTAACACACGCCTCATTAACCTTTTGGCCCTTAAAGTCTTGTTTTCTTGAACCAGAAGTGACACTACAGGGTGAATTACACTTTCTTTAGGTCATCAAGCACACTGAAAACACACTCTGAAAAGAAAGGCATACATGTTTTAAACTAAAACATAAACAACACACAAGAGAGAGAGAGAAACTCCCTCTGGAGGGAACATTGGGATGTTAGCCTTTGCAGACCATTTACATGCACACAAACCTGTATAACACACTACAGGAAAGGGAGGACCCCAAAAGCCTAATCAGGCCTCTTTAACATGGCAAGGTTGGACATTTTAAGCCTCAAACATCCACACACACACAGAGACATACCAGAAATAAGTGTGAGGACTCTCCAGTGAAGGGCGGCAGCAGGGATGAGAGGGCGGAGGAGGGCAGGAAGGAGCCTCCGGAGCTGGAGAAGGCGGCGGCGCTGCGGTAATCCCCGAAGGTCTCCGGGTAGTAGCTGTCGATGAAGGAGGAGTAGCTGCTCATGGAGGAGGGCTCGCAGCCCAGGGGCTTACCCCCCAGCGAGGGGGAGTACACATCAGGGGAGAACTGCTTAGTGGACGGGCAGAAGTCTGAGTCCGAGATGAAGGAGCGCCTCATGCCGTAATAACTGGGCAGCATGTGAGACCCTGTGGAGAACAGAATGGTCAATACAAATAGCTTTTACACCAGAGGCATCCCAGAGCTGGATAATGTCAAACACTGAACCAACAGCAAAACAAAAACAGTTATAGACCAATTGCAAGTGCACTACAATTCATCAATACATATTTATTTATGTATGTATGTATTATGCCTTTATTTTAATTGTAATATAATTAAAATTGTTTAAATATTATTATTATTATTATTATAATTATTAGTATCTGTTATTTTTACAATTATATATTTGTATATATGTATTGTTTTATTTCTTGTTGATATGTGAAAAAGGTTGACAGGATTGCATTTTTTATTTTGTTGTACCTGGTGCATTGACAATAAAGGAATTACACGTATAATCTATTATTTTCTTTTCTATTCTTGTCCATTGTAATCTATTCTAATCTACTTCATCCCGTTTTCAATTCTATTCCACTCCTTATCACTATCTTCTCTTCTCCTCCTCATGGCAGCCGTGGCAGGCTGTGACCAGTGTTTACCTTCAAACTCTTGAAATAGTCCGACAACTAAGAACTGAATCAAAGGACACATGATCCTTTCAGGTTTTAATGACAGTGTGTATTAAAGCCTGTTGACAGCTGTGTCTGGAAGGCAGTAAAGTGTGAGTGGTGAAGATCTTTAAAGTTGTATTCATTTGCAGTCTCACCTGGCATCTGGACGAAAGACGGCGGAGAGGGTGATCCTCCCTGTGACACAGACACAAGACGTGAAATTAGGCGTATAAACGTGATGAGTCCTTCATAGCATGTTATCCACCTGAAGTGTCTCCCTCATCAATGAATCACAATGACTGCTTAGTCATATGCTTCCTGTTAATACAGCATGTAGCTAAAGCATGCTAATTAAACATACTGTTTATATGAAAATCCACTATTTACTTCCAAACTTCATACATCCTACGGCTATAATAAAGATTAAAATACAACTAAAGTGATACGTTTACTGATATGGCACCAAGCTATAAATACAAGTAACATTTTGAAATGAATTCTTAAAGAAATTGGCGACCAATCCCAATGCTGCTCAGAGTAATGGTAGTCCAGTGTGTCTCTCCCTTGCTGTATATCTTGTTATTGTTCATTTGTAAATTCAACATGTATATTTTCTACTTTCTTGTTTATATCTAGTCTTTTCATTTGTATTGTACAATGCCATCTCTTTTTATGCTGCTGCAACACAAACATGTCCCAAATTGGGATCAATAAAGTTCTATCCTATCCACGTATAGACATGGTTTAAACTCTTTTCTATATTATCGGTCCTAACCTAGGAGTCGGTCCACTCCCAAGGGTCATGAGATAAAAGTTACATTATTATAGAGTCAGGGTGAAAGGGACATCTGCAGCAGATATGAATTTAGTTTTACTACATTTTCATCAAATGTAAATATTTTAGATGATTTTCCTGAGTTCAGCCTGACATTTGATTTGTTCACTCTTGTGTCACGTTTAAGATCAAATGGAAACAGCTAAAAGAAAATATGTATACATGCACAAAAGATGAGCAGGTAGAGCCAAACGGCCAAAGGGCTTTTTGTGTGAAGAATATAAAATGTCCTCATTTCAAAGCATCCTGTTTCAGGAGCAATCTGTGCACAGCAGAATGTGCAGAACGAGGAGTGGGCAAAAGGGGATTGGATGACGGTCCCTGCAGGTTTGCCACAATATTACATTTGTCATGATTATTGTTACGTGTTTTGTTTGTGCGGGTCTCTTTCTCCCTCTCCCTCAGGTGATCCAAATCCTTCATTAACTTTGAGTCATTAAAGAGTATCTTTTCATTTTAGGGAGGTGTGTGGCGTGTGGCGCAGTGGGTTGTGCGTTAGTGTTCGGATCAGGGGGTCACAGGTTCAAACCCCACTGCAGTCAGCATGTCGTTGTGTCCCTGAGACACTTCACCCCTAATTGCTCCTGTGGGGATTGTCCACAGTATTGAGTATGTTAGTCGCTTTGGATAAAAGTGTCTAACAAGTGACATGTCATGTAATTTTGGTAAATCAGTTTCCTCTTTCTTTTTTCCCTGGGTTGTTTTATATTTGGTTACTTCCCTTTCACCCTAGAATATTAGGTACTGATCAATTAGCCTGAAAAAATAAAGATTTACACAACCTTTGGGATAATCATATTAAAAGTTGCACAAAAAAACACATTTGACCCACTGTACTTTACATTTCGGGAAGATAACATTTTTCTAAACTGCATATGTTTTTAGTGGATTTCCTTTTAAGAGAAAAACCATCTTAGATAATATAATCATGAATCATACGGTCACCATTCATAAATAAAGGATAGATCAATTAAATCGCAACATTGTGAGAGTCTGTTAATACTTACAACTCCTTTATTATTCTCCTTTTGTTTCACGTTTTTGGTCACTTAGAATAAGCACGATTTTTCTGATAATAAAAATGTACGTATTTTGAATGGGGACCCACAGGAACAACTTATATTTGATATATGGTGTCCTAAATACATGCATTTATATAATACATAACAATAAAAACGACTTGTGGTCTATTTTTGGTCAGTGCTACAACCTGTTATTAACCTGTGCTGCTTCATACTCATACACATTTAAGGAATGTTTTATGTTACCAATAATATCATATTTATTTCATCAACAAATATTTGTATTAATGTTAAAATTATAAAAGCTTCTTCATTTTATATTCTAAAGCAGATAGATATTGAGGCAGAGTGCAGGGACACAACAGCAGGGTTCGACAGACACAACAGCAGGGTTCGACAGGTTCTTCTTTGCATATTGCTAACATGAAAGAGTTGATATTAAGCCGCGTTGGCTGGGAGGCAAGCAAATTTTGAGGGTTGAATTTGAATGTGATTTGCCAGTGCCAAGACTTCCTCATGTGGCCCAGGTACGGCTCAGTGCATCTCTGAAGGCTGCGTATGGAAATCAGCTGGCTCCAGTGTCCAGAGACAGGCACTGCGTGTGTGTGTGTGTGTGTGTGTGTGTGTGTGTGTGTGTGTGTGTGTGTGTGTGTGTGTGTGTGTGTGTGTGTGTGTGTGTGTGTGTGTGTGTGTGTGTGTGTGTGTGTGTGCAGGAGAAGGACACGGTAATGTTGTTGTACTTTAACATTATTTCGCAGGAAAGGTCTTCCTTCCTATGCAAAACTCCTTTCACAGACGTATACTCCCATCTGCTGCACGATATACTGATACTGGTATTTAAAATAAAGTTGCACCTATTTAAGAACCTACATTCTTTCTAAGAATACACAGTTTATCATTTTTCTTTGTCAGTTCTATTTTTCTGACAACAACTTGCGCCACTTTTTTATCTGGAGTTTATCTGGAGTCTTTTCTTATAAACGGTAATACGCAAAGTCTCTCCTTTAGCTTTATACAATTTCACTGACTTACATTTCTCACAGTGCAGGTCATTTATGTAATGGCAGCGTGTTTGGGCACATCACCTCAATATGAATGCAAACAGTGCTCAGCAAAGAGGGGCAGCTGAGGTGAAATGATGTAAGATCTTTATGTTGTCACTGTGGCTCTCCGTGTTCCAACATGAGGAGGCTGCTCTGCTGCGGTCACAGTTTGCTCTTCACTCTCAATGGCCCTTTATTCCCAGAGATAAAAAGGCAGCATAAGCTAACACAAGGATGGCTTTAGTCAGTTTGTGTCCCCGTGTAAGGTCAGCATGTATCATTTTGAATAGCTCCTAAATATAATCAGTTGGGAGAATGCGAGTTTGGCTCTTGAAAAAGTCAGGAAACCTACTTAGTTTGTCTCAATTTATAAAGAATGTTAACATTGAAGAGACATTGCAAAAGTGAAGCTATGAACTAATTTGATTGTGAGAAATCCATGCCATACTGTATGTATGCCCGTATATTGTAATATATTATCTAGTTTTCTTTTTTATGTCTCTTTTTGTCTATTGACTGTAAACTTCTGCCTTCCATCCTTTCTTGTTTGGTTATTAACTTAGTTATTAATTTTTTCTGGATTCTTTTTTATTTATAGAAATATCTTTGGTATTTTATATAATGCTAAATGTTCATGTGTGGGAGAGTTCTTATAGTAGCTAACCATCTTGAATGTATTAAATAATATGTTCACAAAAAAGAAAGGGGGGTGAATTGCAGGCATGATATTTGCATAAACAACCCGGTGCAATGGAAGTATGGCCTACATAAAGTGGCTTGACTTCAGAATTGGGAATTTAAAATGACTTTTTAAGAAAAACACCAGAAATATCACCAGGTTTTGTCTTTAAAAAATATTCTAGAAGTACTGTCATATTTTGGGGCAGCAGTCGCTCAGTCTGTAGGGACTTGGCCTTGGAATTGAAGGGTCGTCAGTTCACGACCCCCCAACCAGGTTGGTGCCTGGTGTCGAACCAACTGGCTGCCTCTCCGCTCCGGACCTCTCCTGCATGTGCCTGTGTGTATGTGTACTGTGTACTGTGTCTGTATAACAAAAAATGCATGTGCATGTGCACCTACTGCATATACGTGTACTGTGTGTCTGTATATACAATTGAGTGGAAACTGAATTTCCCCCTAGGGCTATAAATAAAGGTTCATCTTCTTATTGAACAGAGCTCTAAAAATGATTCAAATAAATTAATGCAACTATGTTTTATGAATAAAGCTTTTTAGTTTTTTTAGGTTAGAAGTGCTATAGCATATTTCATGAATAAAATTAAAATAACATCAGCTTTGAGCATTTCAATAATTACCATATGCTGTTGCAAACATTTAAGCTGTTCCTGTCTGTACCACTCAAACATCTATGTCAGCTTTTATGTTTCAATACATAACATGTAATACTGAGATGATACTGATCGTATTACTGGTAGCTACAGTGGTCGGTGATAGCTCATGGGACTTCTTGGCTAAGGTGCTCTTAGGCAAAGAAACTAGACCCCGACACCTAATAAATAGTTTGAATGCAAATGTCACTGTGTTACAACCAAAGTTGATTTGTTACAACTTGTTACAGGGAGAACAGGGCCTCTACCAATCCCAGTCTGCCCCCTCAATATCTGTCCTTTGGTCAGCAGGTCGTACAGTATAGAGAAGTACATAAGGCGTAAATGCACTGTATAGTGAAACTTGTTTCCATCATTTATGAAGAAAAGGTTTTCTTGTTCCTCAAATCTCTGTGATTAAGAGAACATGATAACATGTAAAGTGGCTCTGTGCTAACATTGATGTCGTGTTCTCATGGAGGGAGATTCTTGCCAAGCAAGTGAGCAAAGATAAAAATTACATATCAAGTTAATTCAACTAAGGGCTACATCTTGCCAACATTAGGCTAACCGCTAGGCCTAACTGTTGATAACAATGTTGATAACTTTGGATCCAGGTTAGTTGTAATATTTAGCTTGCTAATTCTTGTGTTGTTGCCCTTGTTGGATGTTTGGCTATGTTAGCAAAGATTTCGACTTGCTAGTTTGTCATTGTTCATAATGTTATGTAATCAAAAAAAATGTAATGTTATTAACGACAGTGGTGTAATATTGATTTGCACTCTGAAACAATAAAAAAAACAAAAAAATTAAATATTGCTTCAAGGCAGGACTGTATGTAGAATTGAGTCAATTGAACGACAGCTAATGTGTTCAGGAAAATGAAGAAACATTGTTTCTTGATGATGAGTTTGAAAACCCTGAAAACCAATTTCCCTCTTCAGCTTCTTACTGTGTCATGGCTCATACATTCGTGTGTGCAATTAAACATTGGTGATGGTCATTTAGATATATGCTAAAAGGCCTCAACTCCAAATACAATATAAAGGGCAGTGACTTGATACAACCCAGTCTCACGGCATTTCGTGTTATAGTCACGACATTTAATCTATTGATTCGTGTTCACCAACACGATTTTCTCCTTTTTTTAAAAGCAATGTATGTTGGTAGTATGTTTCGTGCCTGCAACACGTCTTTTTGTTTCCAGCTTCCGGGTCTTGGAAGACCGGAAGCTGGAAACATTTTCTTACTCAATATCAAGCCACGATTATTGTTTTTATTTTAAATTCTATAATGTCGGACTTTTTTTGCCGTCCGCGAGGAAAAGAAATGGGCCTCAGAGCCTCAGAATACTGAAATATGTATATTTTAAATCTTTTTTTCCTTCTAATTTGTTATTCTTTTCTAAATAACACACTGTTATTTACTCAACAATAACACACAATTATCCTTGTTTTTATTTATTTGTTTAATTCTATAATCTCTGGCTTTTTTGCCGTCCCTCAGGAACTGAATTTCAAAATAAAACAACAGGAAACAGACGTAGGCCTATAAGGGACATTTCGAGCATCATTGCGATACACACCCACTGAACTGATTACCCAAGATCCTCAGCTATGGTTTAAGCTCGGTGATTGGATGTTTTAGCCGCAATGCACGTTGGGATATGGTGTTTATGCGATATGAAATCCCAAAAACCTTTCGCAGTTTAGGATGGCCGAAGACACTACACTACCCATAATCCTCAGCTATCGTTTGGGACTACAGTCCCTTTGCTTGACAAACCCCGTGATTAATCTTCAAGCTCTGGGATTGGATGTTGGAGTGGCAGTGCGCAAACCCAAACTGGACTCGAACGGGAACATATTTTTTTCATCAAATATAACATATTAAAAAAATAATTCAATAACGTGCTTTAACCACTAGGCGGTGCACACAAGGTACATCTGAAGATGTGTAGTTTTATTCATGTTTTCACATAATCTTACAGGATATTGCTATATTATTTCACATGTTTTACTTCTACACATTAATATCTGATTTGTAAAACATCACAGACAGAAAGGTATATCCATCATTTAACAGTAAGCTATTGAAATTCTGAATCCATCGATGTGTCTCCCATCACCCAAAACCCCCAACTCAGTATTTACATTCTTATATTCAAAGAAAATCAGTAATATCTTTAAAAACTACAAGTCCTTTTATATCAGCTGTACACCGTTATGGTGTAAATATATATCTACCAATTGGATCAAATATAAAAGTCAGCCGAATTAGTATTGATACTGCAAGGAGACGTATTGTGTGAAGAGAAATTGAAGATGTTGTTTAATTACTGATATATTTATGATCCACGTCACGTATTCAGTTTCGGCGGCAGTTCTTCCAGTTTGTCTAGAAGTCTTCTAATCAGGGCTCTATAAATACAGAACTACGGCAGATGTGTAATATTTAATGCAGCCGAACCATGTATTACAATGCCGTTATGTGATGACTTTCAAAGAAAAAAGCAAGTACACTTTAAAAAAAAAAGATTTTCGGATTTCATATCGCATAAACACCATATCCCAACGTGCATTGTGGCTAAAACATCCAATCACCAAGCTTCAACCATAGCTGAGGATCTTGGGTAACTAGTTCAGTGGGTGTGTATCTGTTTCCGGTTATTTTTATTTAGAAATTCAGTTCCTGGCGGACGCCAAAAAAAGCCAGAGATTATAGAATTAAACAAATAAATAAAAACAAGGATAATTGTGTGTTATTGTTGAGTAAATAACAGTGTGTTATTTAGAAAAGAATAACAAATTAGAAGGAAAAAAATATGTAATAAATACAGATTTCAGTATTCTCAGGCTCTGAGCCCCATTTCTTTTCCTCGCGGACGGCAAAAAAAGTCTGACATTATACGATTTAAAATAAAAACAATAATCGTGGCTTGATATTGAGTAAGAACATGTTTTTATGAACCACACAGCTTCCGGTCTTCCAAGACCCGACCGGACAAAAAGACGTGGTGCAGGCACGAAACATACTACCAATAGAAATACATTGCTTTTTGACACAAAAAAAAGGGGAAAATCGTGTTGGTGAACACGAATCAATAGATTAAATGTCGTGACTATAACACGAAATACCGTGAGACTGAGTTGCTTGATAATGTTGATTCGGAAAATCAACACCTATGGTAATAAGGCTTGCTGACCGCCTAGCTTAAAGTTGGCAGTTAGCCACCTGGTTGTGCCTTCTATGCCAAATGCACTTACGTTAGGCCTTTCATGCAAAGGGTTACATTGGAGGAGGGTGATTTTTGGAGCCCTTTGTTGCATCTAATGGTATCTTCTTCTTCTGTGTCTTTCTCACAATCCCTTCAATGCGTGAGTCGTTAGCGGCCTGCATATATAGCGTGGACAAGCCGATGCTAAACAGAAAGCAAACATTGCATACTGTCCTGTAAAGCCTTTTGACAGGTGGTGAAAAGCCTGTCTTGCTTGTGCATGCAGAGGTCTAAAGCCCAGCCTGATTTCTCTGGCTGTGTCTATCGGCGTGTGTTTCTGAGGCAACAATAGGAGGCTTGTCTGCGGCCTGTACATGGCAGAGGACAATGTCAGCTGGCAGGTGTGCGTGGATCAAGCTTTGCATGGGCAGAATCCTTCACTGCCCTTTCTCTATGCTACCTGTCCACCTCAAGCTTCCCACCCTGCCCCCGCCTCCAGCTCGGGAAGTTTTCGGGAGTTTGTGGCCGTCGCCAGTGTGAGCATTGTGTCAGCGTTCTTTTGTGAGGTCAGGATGGGACTCTGGGCTTTGTGTCTAGTGCTCAGCTATTTACAGAATGGCTTTGCATGCGCTCGAGGGGAGCCGAGACAGAGGGAGGAGGTACAGGTGGTCAATGGATCCACCACGGATCGTTAGTCCACAAATACAAGCCAAAATGTAAACAAGGAGAATAGATTTTTTAAAAGGTGACCACTTAATTGTGCTACACACAGAATGTCAACTGTGGCTGTTTGGTTTGGGAGAAAAATGAAGTGGGGAGAGACAGACGGGACAAAGGCTGAGCGCTTTAGAGGAGATTGTGCTTACGTTGTATCTGGGCCCGGGTGTTTGTCGGGATCGCTTCTCCGCCAGCAGGTCCTTGACTGTGTGCTTGACTCGAACGCCTTGGTACACTCTCTTTGAGTATTCTAGACAAAAAGCATACAATTAGTACAAAAATCCACTTTTGAAACAAATCCAGAGACAGTTTGACCTGGAGGTGGTAACAGATTCATACACATTTTCATCCATCCCCACAAATGTGTGTTCATTTGAATGTTTCACAGTTTTATTCATGTAGGCGAATGACTCTTTGGGATTGGTGTGTAAATATCATGGAAATTGCCTTTGGTTTGGTCAATGCAAATGGACTACCAAAAAGAGGCAATTTACTACAAACACTGGCTGATGCTTCACAGTGAAGGAAGACTGGAGGGGGTTAGACGTCTTAAAACAAATAAAGATATTTCATCAGAATATTTTTCTGCATAGAAACATTGTTCTTTAAATCTTTAATGTTAGCTGGAGTGATTTCCTGGAGAGCACAAGCTTTAACTCAATGAAAATGCAAACTTTATTATGCAAACGGTTATTGCATGCAAAAAACGTTATGTAAAAGATCCCTGCTTTTTGAATGGATATTTTAGATAAGACCCCACATTGCTCAATGACATTCCAGAAAATATAGAATTTCCTTGGGATTAAGTCAAAATACAGTATATCTGTATATCTGTTATTCCATATTCAAATATATCTTACCATGTGAATCTTAATTATAATATCAAATCAATTAGCACATTAAATCCTACACGTGCTTGATTTTAAAAACATCTTTCAAATATCTGACGGTGATATAAGTGAATTATATGGAGAAATTAATATCTTACGGTATTGTTTATACAAAATTCATATATAACTGTTTCTGAATTGACTTATTTACTAACTTTAATTGAATAAGCGAACATAATCAAACATGAGCCCAAACACAAATAACATTATCACATTTAAATAGGATTATTTCTGTTTTTTTACTCTACAAAATAAAAAAATAAAAAAAGTAATACTGTTTAAAAGGGAAAACATATTTTTACCAAAGACATAAACATTTATCACAAAAATAATGACATCAGCTGTCAGCCTGTATATTAATGAGTGTCTTACCTGTATCCATGATGCTGTTGAGCTCACACACAAACACTGTCACACACTGTCACACACACACAGGTGCCTCTCTGTTCTGTATTTGCCTACAGTAGATGAATCCCAGTGTGCAGCAGCACCATACTGAGTGGCGTGCCGCGGTGGAGCTTTAACTACGCTGTCAGGAGGGCAGGGACACATGGAACATGCCACCTCACACTGCAGTCATGAGGAGGCAGCTTTTCAAAATGACCTTTATCTATTTGTTTAAATGCAAATGTTTGGTAGGGACGTTTTTTAGACTATTTGCATCTGCAGTGAAGATTAGGGGTTGGAAGCATCAGGGGAATGGAAGAGAGACGGGGAAGCTGCGTGTCACTCCTCCCTGAGTCCTTACTCATCATCCAAATTCTAAAGGATATATTGTTTCCACATTGTGATTTTGTTGATGCTGCTGTGGGACGGATTCTGTTATTGTTTCAGTTTGAGAGTTGGCATCTCTGGAATAAATACAACTTTTACAAAGAAGCTTAAAATGTACCAAAGCATCTTTTTTTCTGTTTGTAGGTTTGCATCTCAGGTCAGACAGTTGATAGCACACTGCCTCCTGCCACAAATAAGTAACTTTTTAATCTTTTCTTTTTGCATAAAAGGACATTCATGTGCAATCTTCGGCTCAAATTGATATGCTGAAATTTGTATAAAATGTAAACTGAAAACAAATAAATCACCTCAACCTTTTGTTTATAGAAGAGGGGTGAATCACTCAAGGCACGTTCTGCTTAACAGAATGTAGAGAAGTAATTTGACTCAGGTATTCTAGTTAGGAACAACTTTGTAAGGTACTTGTACTTTATTATTTTCATTTTATGCTGCTTTTTCTTTCTGCTACACTACACTTCAGAAGCCAATATTTTAACTTTTTACTCTGCTACATTTATCTGACAGCTTTAGTTACTTTACAAATTCAGACGATTAGCTAATACAAAACATACACCAACTAATGTATAAACATTGACATATAATTCTAAGGAGCAGCAATAAACAAAGTAAGTAACATTTTCTTTACTTTTACCAGCTGTGATAGAAACATTATTGTGTCAATAATCATAATACAGTATTTTTATATATTTTATTCTGAAATGTTTTTTACGCTTAATAAGTACTTTTGATGCCAGTACTTTAAATTAAAATAAAATATTGCTACTTTTTACTTAAAGGGGCCCTATAATGTTTTTTGGGGGTTAACCTTCCCTGTGCATTAGGTTTATGTGCATGTAAATGGTCTACAAAGTCTAAAATCCCTGTGCTCCCTCCAGGGGGAGTTTCTCTCCAACTCCCCACCTGCCTGAAACGCCTCCATTGGACTCCTTTGTTTACTTCCGTAACATAATGACATCACTATGTAACACTCACACCTCTATTTGCTAGTACTCTGTTATAGGCTATGGGGTGGGACATCTCTGAGCATTTGACCAATCCCACCAAAGCCGGCCAGCTAACCAACCAGAGCAGACTGGGCTCTTGTTTCAGACAGAGGGTGAAAAGAGGTGCTGCAGCACAGGCAGAATGAGAAAAATAAAGAGCTTGTTTTAACATTAAAGCATCTAAACATGTCACAGTAGAGGCACACAATATAAATATGACCCAGAAAATTAGCATAAGAGGACCCCGTAACTATAAAAGAGTACTTCTTCCAACACTACTGGTTTATAACAAGGCTTCAATCTGACCTTTTTTTCCTCTGATTTGGTGTTTAGTCAAATTGTTTTTGTGATGCAGATATGAAAAATATTTGTTTCACTTAAACATTCATAACAAATTATCAAAATATTAAAATAACATAATGAATGCCTACTTGGATTTGCAAGCAGTTGGTTGTGATACATTAAAAGGCAGATCCAAACACTAATTGCACATTTATTACGATGGTGATACATGCTTAAAATACTCTTAATAAATAGCCTTTCACATGTTGTCTTTATGATCTGAATCATACCTTATCCACCAAGTTCAGAAACAGTGTGTACAGCAGCTCACTATAAACACAGTATTTCGGCATGAGATGAGAGTTCAGCAATCAGTAAGATCTGATTATCTATGATCGCGCACAATACAATAAGAGCACTACAGATGGGGCATCTTATTTTGGACGCCAGCATACAGCTTCCTGCCTACTGCCAGCCAGTTACCTGCCTAAGACCTGCCAAAGACCAGTATCCAGGAATGTTAGGCCCTCCCACTATTCTCCAATTTCAGGGTTTAACCAGGAGATGGCGCTATATATTAAATAACTATGGCCAAACTAAGACTTAGTTTTTCACAATAGGAAATGCAGATATTATATAAAAAACTAAAGTTAAAATCTTGTTTTTAATGCCCCAAGAGCAATAACATCTTGTCACAAGCTTTTTGGAAGAAAAAGACTGACCCAAGAGACCTGTAGTTGACTAATTACAGGCCTCAATAAAGTTCTGCCATTGGTTGTGAAAAACAACGGTGGACATAGTGGAAAGTGAAATTGACATTGTCGAATTTAATAAAAATACAAAATAATGTATCTGTGTAGCCTACGTGTTTTACTATGTGATCTGCATGCACTTATCAAACATCTAATTAAAGAATGGTAGCTGTACCTCTCAAACAACCTAAACTAGTTATAAATGTATATTTTAAATAAAGTCTTTATGACTCGGAATATGAATAATATGGGTCCGTTACAGTTTGTTTTCATCTGATTTCAAATAAACAAAGTCTTGGCTTTCAGAATATTAAACTTGTTTCGGCAAATTTAGATGATAAATACAACTATGAAGCTTGTAACGGCATAATTACTTAAGCGGAGAACGGAGTAAGTAAACGTTACAGCAGGCATAACAACAGCCGGTGTTTATTTTATTATAATATATAGTCGTTTTATTATATAACTATATATGTAGTTTTATAATAATATATAGTTTTATTATAATATATAGTCGTTATTCATTTCCTATAATATATATTCGTTATTCATTCGTTATTCATTTGTTTTAAAGCTCAATATATAGTTTTATTATAATATATAGTCGTTATTCATTTGTTATAAAGCTCAATAAGGAAGATTGAACTTTAAACTTTCACACACGTTGACCGGCGAAAAACTCTGCCCGGTTCACCGACCCCCCTCTGAGTGAATACCCAAGATATCTTGGTTTGATTTGGAGAAGGCTTTTAAAGTATACTAACTCTAACTCTGTATAGGAAATATAAGGCTAAAATAATTGTATGATTGAACTATAAAAACATAGTTTAGTGGTAGCCGGCACATTCAGTGGTAACAATGAGCTAACATTAATAAAACCCAGCTTATATAAGTTATTTGTATCAAGAGGCAGAGCAATTAAAGACTTTTTTTTCTCCTGAAGATAAAAGAGTAAAGCACTTTTGTAGAACTTCAGCAACTGTAAAAATGTTTAAATCTATGACCATGAATATAGACCCTCCATTTGGTCAGTTGAAGCTTTACTGTACAGGAAGTACTAGAGGCATTCAGTGTGATTTTTTTTATAAAACTCTTGCGTCTAGAATGTCTAGTTACGATCAGAGTTGGGTAATAATATTACTTTTATAATTCAGTAATCACACTACAGTTACTAACATTGCCCCGACACGCATTACTTCGTTACTTTTATAAAATGTGTCATAATCACACTGACAGACAAGAGGGGTTTCCGCCGCAGGTTTATATGTACGTAATCTGCGCGACTTTCGCGTCCACATCTCCACGTGCAGTGCTGCATAAACATGGCTGAGTCAGCGATAACTTTCGAGGGGTGGAGGTATGCCCATTATTTTTAGTTCGTCCGAAGAATAGACAGGAATGTGACGGTGAGGTGCAAACTGTGTCCAGGCCAGAAGCTGTTATCCACTGCTGTAAACACCACGTCAAACCTCAACAAACACCTGCAAAGAACACATGCTAAGGTGAAGCTAATAGCTAAGGACCCCCGAACCCAGAGTGAGGATGTTGTGAGTGCGCCGCCGCCGACTCCGAAGCAGCAACAATTACCGGTAACCAAAGCAGAGATGGACAGGCTTGTAGCATCCTTCATAGTAAAGGTAATGTTGCCCATTTACACAGTGGAATCACCATCGCATCGTTCAGAGATATGCTGCGCAAAATACAGATAGCAGGAGACAGAGGACAGCCATAGTCAGAGCTATCTGGATCAGTCTTATGCGACAATGGAAACTGAACTAAAGAGAACATTTGAAACTTTAGCAGTCTGCGTGATCTGCCTGTAGGGAGGGGCGGGCCGGCCCTGCGAGTAAAGTAACGAGTAAAGTAACGAGTAAAGCAACAAGTTACTTTATGTAGAGAGCAACGAAGTAGTGTAATATATTACTTTTTTTTAAAGTAATATGTAATATGTAATATATTACTTTTTTGTAGTAACGACCCCATCTCTGGTTACGATGCATTGTGACACGGTTAAATCACAACGCAAATATGTGAAGATTCAAATATGTGAAATTAAAAACAAATTGCTGTATTCTTTTTTTAGGGCAGTAAATGGGTAAATTCATTGGAAATGGTGGTATGTAATGAAAAAACGCTTTGCGGTTGGAAGACTAGTAAAGTGGTCAGAAAGGTGCTATATACTCAGGTTTTTTTTTAAATGTTGACAAAGAAAGGAAACTATGCGTTATTTTGCATGGTTTATATCCTCCTTCAGAATTGAAATGTGAGATCATATTGACAAAAATGATCTGGTGTTATTTCCCAAACCAGTGCACCTCTCTAAACCAAGTTAGTTCCAAGGATGACCCTTGGGTGATTTTGAGTGGCAGTTGATGGGGGAATTTATACAACATCTACGAATGGCAATTCTTACCATTTGGCCTGTGATTTGCAACCTTTGTTGTCCAAAATCATGTGTTGGACCACCTAGCACATAATGAGGAAGTACTGTAGTCCACAGAGCAGTGTCTGCCCAACATCTCATAAAGAAGATGTGAACACTGTAAAAAAAAATAAACTCGCTGCCAAACAAAAACCATAAAATTAAAGTAAAAATACTTTAACTGAAATAAAGTCCAAAAGCAATTAGTATACAGAAATTGTCCTTAAAGATTTTAGAGGAAACTTTCCTCTCTTTTCAAAATCCATTGCCTTAAAATGTTACATTCAAATACCTTAAATAAAGTTCTGATGAGA